GTGTGTGTGTGTGTGTGTGTGTGGCCTCCCCAGGGGGTCCACCTTCTCTGGGTTGCTCTATACTTCATGATCAAGCGCCCTAGTTGAGGGTACAAATGTGACAGACACCTCATTCGGCATTCTGCACACTCCTCTTAGGGATCCAAGAGAGAAGAGGTGAATGGGAGTCATCACTCAGAGGGGGCCTAATTCCATTTCCTCTTGTTGCCGCCTGGGCTTGGCATTGCAGGGGGGCTGTTTGGGGCACCTCCGTCCCCTGGCAGCTCTGCCCCCTCCTTCGCAGCCGCTTCTGAGGGGGCCCTTGCCTCTCTTCCCCGAGAAGTCACATGGAAACAGATTGGCGGGAGCTTGTGGGGCTGTGCCTCGCTCTGGCTTGACTTGAGAAAGTGGCAGTTGGGGGCTTCCTGGGGAGGGGTCCACGGGCTGGGGTCTGCCTGTGTCTGGCCCTGCCAGACTGCCCAGCCTCGCCAGCACTCGACCTGAGGGTGCTCGGGTGCTGGATGGCTCTGGGGCTGTGCTCTGCAAGGGTGGCTGTGGACAGGCAGGGCTGAGAAAGCTGCATCTGGCCTCCCGGGCCTGGCTTTTTCTCCTCGCTGCCCAGAGCCCGGACTCCACAGCCCCGCTGGCGTCTGCTGTGGAGACAGCACTGTGTGAAGAGCCCAGTGCGTTCATTTCTCCAGCTGTGCAAACCTGGAGGGACTCAGCTCACTCCTGAATGCCAGGGAGGTCTCTGACCTAGGGGAGGCGGGGGCTCGTGCAGTTTCCAGGAGCCAGCAGTGCGGGTTAGGGAAGAGGACAGAGAGCAGAGGAGAGAGACAGCAACAGAGAGTACATCTGGCGGGGAGATGGGCCTCGGTGGGTAATAAAAATACCCCTGTCTATAAACGTGAGGACCCATTTGTATCTCTCGCATCCCAGCTTTCCTTATTTATATGGAAATATGGCGGGCGCGTGTGTTAGTTCTGAGATGTATCGCTGGGGCCTCACAGTAAATACATTTCAATTCCGCTGACAGCGAGAGTGGGAAGCGACTCAGGGGAGCCGTGTCAGCTTGCTCTGCTGACAGTCAGGGCCAGTGGTGGCACTCGAGGAGCATGTCACTTGGGCTGGGCCATCCTGGCCAGCCTGCTCCCTCCTGTGACCTCTGTCTAGGGTGCTGCTGGGCAGAAATGTGAGTTGCATCTCTGGAGCGCCTCAGTAAGGGGCAGGGCGTTGTCCCCAGGTCTTGAACCCAGAGGGTTTCAAGCTGCCTCTGAGCCCCAGAGTTGGCAGAGATTTGCCATCCTGGTCCATAGTGAAGAGAGGCTTTAGAAAATCAGCCAAGGTGGCTGTGTATTTCACCGGGGCCACAGTGAGATTTGAGCAGGGGCAGCTCACATGTCTACATGTGGGTCACTTCTTCCACTGATATTTTGTAAGAATTGGCTTAATCCTTCCTGTGAAGGGCCGTATACAACTCCCAGCAAAGATTGGGGGGCTGTATTTCCATTGTCATCCCAACTCTGATTTCTTGCTTCTGCCAAATTATCCAGCTCCGCATCTTCCCTATTACCTCCTTGGTCCCCTTGCACTGCCCCAGGGAGAAGGGCATCCCATTGCCCTCAGCCCCCCTCCCATCCAAAAGGACCATGTGTTAACTGCCTGGCATAGCAAGCAGGTGCAGACTCCCCCTGCTCCCCACCTGGGGCACCCCCCGTGGTCCCTGCAGTGGGAGAGTCTCCCTGTCCTTGGACCCCCTCTGTCCCTGGGCCTCTCCTTCTCTTTGGCTCCCAGGCCATGCTAGGAAACCCCAGCTTCTTGCTTGAATATGCAGAGTTCTTTGTGGTCTGTCTGCTGTGGGCATCTAACTCTGCTACTCCACCCAGGGGTCAGCAAAACAAAACAGAACTTTCCCGAAGGATCTCGAAGCCAACTTTCCTGGGGTGATTCTTTCCCATTATTTTGGTCTCTAGAGGCAGTTAGGAAAGGTATAGAAACGGGAGTTAGGGGGAGGGAATCTCAGAGGCCAGGGACTCCAGCCCCCTTGTTTTACACAGGAGAGGTTGAAGCCAAGAGGACAGTGACCTGTCCCCACTTGGTCAGTGGCTGTGTAGGGACTGGAGTCCCTGCCCCAGGCCCACGTGCTGCGCCCCAGGCCCACGTGCTGCTCCCCAGCCTGTGCTGAGCTCTAGCTGTGGCCCGGAAGCTCCAGGCCTGTCCTTGCTGTTCTTGGCCCCTCTGACTATTTTGCAACCTGGGTGGTAGGGTTGGGAGCGCAGTGACTGTGAGGTCCCAGGGCAGGTGCAGACATCGAGGAGAGGCAAAGGAGGCTGGGGCTGGGCTGGGGGCCAAGGGCAGCAACGGGGGCCAGGCCGCAGGCATCTGGGGAATCCACCGACCCTGGAAGTCAGGGTGTGAGCTGGGCAGCTCTGGGTGCTATCTGCATCTCAGTGGCTGACCGGGCTCCAGGCCCATCTGGCCTGAGTGCTGTGGCCACAGCATGGCTAGACAGACCCAGATTCTAGGGAGGCTCAGTTGTGATCTTGCTTTCTGTTTTTCTTGTTTTCTCCTGTTCCCTTGGAGAAGGAGCCACTGCAGCCTGAGCCATGCATGAGCCATGGCCCACCAGGGCTGCCCAGGGAGGCTGAACAGGCTGTGCACGCCACAGCTCCCCACCAGGCTGCCACAAAATACAGGTGGCGCCTGGGAGTTCTGCAGGGCAGTGACCAGGACCGAGCACCTGAGGTCCTCCTGCTTTTCAAGCTGAAATGATGGTCACCACCTCTTCTCTTCCACTGTGCTCAAGCCCTGGCCGTCTGCTAGCTGGTGAGGATGGGCCGGGATGGAGGGTCTTGGAGGGAAGTGATCTGAGAGCTTCAGGTCGCCTGCCTCTGTGAGGGTGAAGAAGGAGGGAGCTATTTCTGTCTTGTCTGATCCCCATCTGATCGATTAACTGATGAGTGAACTGATAGAATGCGAGGGAGTGGAGAGTGGAGAGAGACCCAGGTTTGCTTTATTTAAGGCGCTAGTGAAATTTCTCCAGGCCTAACTGATTTTTTAGCAATCAGCTCAGGTTTCTGAGAGGGACGTGCAGGAAGGCCCGTGCTTCTGGGATAGCGGGCACAGGGCTTCCCTTCCTTCTGGCTCTACCTGGTGTGGCGTGGGACTTCTTGGGTGGCTCCACTTCTCCCCTTCTGCTCCCCACTCCTGCCCTGCCTGGGGCCCTGCCTCTGTTAGGGGACACTGCTCCTTCTTGAAGCTGCGGGCTGATGCCCAGAGGGAAGCATCCCGGGGCCAGTGTGTGAGTGACCCTCCCAGCTCCCGCGCATCTGACCCAGTGACCTGCCAAGAGGGGTCATGTCAGCCTGTGGAAACAGGCAAGGGCCAGGCTGATGGGACCAGGGGAAAAGGGGACAGCATCACAACAGCCCTGGTGACACAGAGGACTTCTCTTGGCTCCCTGTCCTTGCTGGCTCATTGCCTCCTGTCCCCTCTCTCCCTCCTCTGCCTCTGTTCCCAGCAGCCTGACACAAGCTCTCTTCTGCCACCTGCCAGGTGTGGTGACATTAGGCTGTAGGTTGGGGACACCAAGGCCAAGAGCAGCACGATGACTTCCCCACAGTTCCACACAGGGTTTGGTGTCAGAGAAGCCCGTGCAGCGGGCCATTCCCCAGCACATCATTGGCCCCGCGAGGCCTGCTGGGTCTCCAGCCCTTTCTTTCCTGAGCAGAGGCTGCTGTGGCTGCTGATAGCCCCAGCCCTGATGATCGCGGTGCCCCTGTGACTGAGCCTGGGAGCACCCTTGGCAGGCAGGAAGTGCCAGAATGTGACATCTCTGGAGCAGACTTTGCCCAGTGGCTGGCTGAGGCTGGGGGCGTACATACCCCAGCTCCCTTCCCTGGCCACGATGGGGTGAGTCTGAGGCCAGTCCAGCCCCGAGCAAGGCTGAGGTTATGTCTCCCATGACTCCCTCCCCAGTCCCCTCTGTGGCTCACTCTCCTGTCACGGATTATGGCTGCACTGAAGGGCTATCTCAAACCTCCAGAGGATGTAATGGCGATGGAAGGTGAGAGGCTGGGTGTGGTGTCGCATACCTGTAATCCCAGCTCTCTGTGAGGCTGAGGAAAGAGGATCACAAGATGGAACCCAGACGAGGAACTTAGCAATTTAGCAAGATTATATTAAAAATATAAAAATAAAATAAAAAGGACTGGGGATACAGCTCAGTGTGAAGGCTCTGGTTTCAATCCCCTCATCCCCCAAAAGAAGGAAGGTAGGGGTCTCTCCCCTGCCCAGGCTGGGGTGGGTGTGGGGAAGCTGCCCTTGTCAGCTGGCCTTGGAGAGCCCAAGACCAGGGTGAGATCCAGGGAAGTTCATGCTGGTTTTTTACAGTAGGGGCCCAGAGGCTGAGCAGGGGAAGTAGGGGAAGACAACAGCCCTGGGACCCTACAGCACAGCACTCCTAGGTGCATCTGAGTTACATGGGGAGCAAAGGAAGCACGGATTCCAGGGCCCTGTGCCCTAGATCTTGTAGTCAGCAGTTCTAGGCTGGCCGGGAGTTTCCAAGCTGGTGGACAACAGACCACACTTGTCGAATAATCTGATCTACAGGTATTGTCTGGAGCATGGTGTTGGGGACTTTGGAACACCTGTCCCACTGGGGACCTTCCCTTTCTCCTCCCAGTCCTGAGGTTTTCTGGGGCCTTGGATACTTCAGAGATTACATCTAAAGCTCTAGCTTACAGTCAACAAAACTGAGGCCCAGAGGATAATAAAAGTTCTCAGGGTTGCACAGCTGGTAAGGAGTAGGGTTAAGCCAATGGTTTCCCACCCAGCAAAGGGGCAAAGGGGCCTCCTGCCCCACAGGGTGATGGTTGGAACAGGCCCACTCTTCTGACCCCTTCTCTGTGGTGGCCAAGGGAGATGGGAGCCGGGCTGGGGTCATCAGGCAGCTCCAGGTGGCTTGAGGTGGTCTCCGGGCTGCTGGGCCACACCTGATGGTGCCCACACTCTGCCCACAGTGCTGGGTGGCCCCGAGTCCCGTGGCATCCTCCGAAAGATGAGTGACCTGCTGGAGCTGATGGTGAAGCGCATGGACATGCTGGCTAGGCTGGAGAACAGCAGCGAGCTGCACCGGGCCGCTAGTGACACGCACCTTGCAGCAGACAGGTGAGGGACTGGCGGGCACAGGGTGGGTGTGGGTGTATCCCTGGTGTCTGGGGCCGGGGCACAGATGCAGCGCATTCTCAGAGCACAGTCCAGGTCCTGTGAGTTGTACTAGTCCCTTTCCTGACACTGGGGCAAAATACTCTGCATCAGAAATTTAAAAGAGAGGCTTACTTGGGCTTACAGTTTCAGAGAGTTCAGTCCATGGTTGGCTGGCACCAAAGCAGAAATGGCGTGATGGAGGAAAGCTGCTCACCTCATGGTCACCAGGAAGTAGAGAAAGAAGGGGAGAGCTGAGAGTGTATCCCTCCAGCTCGCAACCCCAGCATTGACCTCCAACCAGGCCCTACCTCCTAACTGCACATTCTGGGATGAACTCACCAATGGATTCATCCACAAATGAGTGTTGTGGCCCCCTGACAAGTCATCACCTTCAAAAACATGAGACTTTCTCAACTGTAATCCAGTCTTTGCCAGGTGAGGTGGCGCACACCTGTAATCCCATCACTTGGGAAGCTGAGGCAGGAGGATTGCCACAGGTTCGAGGCCAACCTGGGCTATATAGTGAGTTCAAGGCCAGCCTGAACTACATAGTGAGACCCTGTCTCAAAAAAATTCAAAAGAATCAAACAAAGAAAAAATTCCCAAAACAAAACGCCAGTCTTTCCCATTTTTGTGCATGTAGAACAAACTGTAAGAATGCAAAAACAACCCCATAATCTGGTATGAGCCGGAGTGCAGGCTCCTGCCCCCCAAGTTTAACTATCATTGACATTTTGCCACTTGCAGACTTTTTCCCATTTTAAGTTAAACATCACAGGTGAACAGAGAAGGCCCTTTACTGCTCCCAGAGAGAAGCAGGCTTCCTGTTCACCGTGCGGACTTTTACACATGTGCATAATTGCAAGCACAGGGTGTGCACACACCTATGTAGTATTTGGTTTAAGCACATTTTACATACGTAGCATTCACAGCTCATACCCTGCAGCCTGTTTTTCTCCCCCTAAGGGTTGTGCTGGTTTTGAGCTTGGGCCATGCAGAGCACATGGCGATGCCAGTGGACCCTGGACCAAGTGGAATTTCCTGGTTTATTTATCCTACCTGTTCTCCTCCTCAGTCAGCAGAGTCACAGAATTTGTGCTGCTTCCCCGTGTGCCTCAGTAGCATCCCAGGAACCCCAGTTGTATGAGATCCAAATGGTGTGAGTAGGCGTGGTTCTTTCTCTCTTTCTCTCTCGTGTGCCTCAGTAGCATCCCAGGAACCCCAGTTGTATGAGATCCAAATGGTGTGAGTAGGCGTGGAGGAATCTTCCACCTCTGCAGATGTGGTAGAGAAGTGAGGCTCCAGGCATTTCTAAAGCATGGAGCTGGGTGACATGGGGTGAAATGCTGGTGTGTGATCCTGGTCCTGGGAGCCCTGGCCAGCCCGAGGAAGGAGGGCCGTGACTGAAGGACCCTCCTGAGTCAGGCCGGGACCCAGCACGCCCTTTGGCCTGGTGTTTGGAGAGATCCCTTGCCACTTGGTCTTCCCGTTCTGAGTTACTGGCCTTGAGCCCAGCAGCTCTGGAAGTTCTCTTCATAAGTGTCTTTAGTTACACTGTTCTGGCGGCCTTGATGTCCTGAATCAACCAAACAGTTCCCTTTTGTGGCTTTTTGGATGGTGCCAGATCCACTGAGTAAGGTAGATGAGGAAGACACATTGGAATGTCTTTATTTGGCAGAAATTGCCGTAAATGTTTTAGATGAATTTCGGGACTTGAGACAGCTACAAAAAGATACTCACAAAAGAAGACTTCCAGAAATGTTTCAGAAAGTGGCAAGAATGATGGGATAAGTGTGCTCAAAGCAAAGGGGAGGATTTTGAGGGGGATTACTAATAATGTGTCTTCTACTGTAATTTTAAAAATGTAAACATTCTATCTTTTGATCGCACCTCACGTTTGGGCTTGATCGTGAGTGATGGGGCGAAGTCAGGCTCACACGGAGGCGGGAGGAGTGGGGGAAGCGGAGAGCGCAAGGGCAAAGGCCCTGGGGAGGAGCTCACTTGCTGTGTTGGAGGAAAGAGGCCGTGTGAGGCCAGTAGGGCGTAGTGTGGTGTGGAATGGTGAGGCCAACAGGGCCGGATCATGTAGGGCTTTGTCAGCTATTTTAAGAGTCACAAGAAGTTGGGGCTGGGGATTTAGCTCAGCGGCAAAAGCGCCTGCCTGGCAAGC